GGAGAGACAGAGATAAGTAAGATGGACACCATGCTCTTATGTAATCACATACATGTAGTCACATACATTGCATGACCACTACTGCATTTCACTGGTTAGCAACAAGTGTGGGTCTTGTCTACACAAAAAGGCAGGGATTGCACAAAGGTGTGAGCGTCAGAAGGTATGGACATTAGAGCTGCCTTAAGTCTGTCCATCACAAATATTTGCTGAACCTTTTTTCTTGGCCATAGGCAAGTGACATATAAGATATACGCATGGCTGTGAATTTAAGAGAGAAAAATCCCATGCACATGCAAGTTCTGATAAACACTGTAAGTCAGTATTTGGGTCAGATGAATTACAGGAAGAGGTGAACATGGGCTGGAGGAGTTAGAAAAGGGTTCGAGGGCGTGGGATTTTATTTCTTGGACTTACTGCTAGAATTTGGAAAAAATAGAAAAAAAAGGAGAGGGTATTAGTAGAAGAAAAATATGAGCAAATTTATCTTCCTCTCCTCTCTGGCAGCTTCTCTTCTCTTGTACCAGAGAGTATAATCACCCCCACCTTCTGAGCAACATGGAAAGCCTGCCACAATGCAGGCTATCCCTTCTGTCTACCTTCTCTCTTCCTTTGTTTTTTTCTTCCTTCTGTGGGAAGGATAGTGTACACCAAGATGGTACCTTCTTATTTTAAAAATGAGTGGTTAATTCTCTCTCCTATCGAATTCTGGATCTTAAAGCTAATCTCCCCCAGGATTCCAGATTTCTTTGCATAATTAAAAATGCAAATGTTGAAGTATTTTTAATCCATAAAGAATTAATCAGTCACATCACAAACTCCTCTCTCTCAGCATACATTCCTCTGAAAAGGTGGGTCAGACACCATGCCTGCAGGGACGTATACCCAAGTTCAGGTTTAGGCAGCTCGGAAGGAGAAAGAAGCAAGACTACATGGACAATGCCCAGTTGTCAGTTTTTAAAGATTTGTTTCTTGGGACTGTTACTAGGGGACCACCAGCCTCATCTTGGTGCAATGAGAGTAAGTAACCAAGACAAACAACTTATAAAATAGGCAGCATCTTCAGAATGCAAAGTAGAACTTAAAAGCTAGCCACCAATAGACCTATTTTGCTTGGCTTACTTAGAATTCAAAGAGTAAAATAAGTCAACATTTTAAATTTGAGAGAAATACTGCATTTCTGAATTCTTTTACAAAAATAAGTTGGAAGAGGACACGAGGCCTGCATCCCTATAGGGCTCCATTATAATGTAACCAAGGGACTCCCACTCTAGACTAAGCCTATGTACCCCCACTTGTCACAGAATATATGTGAGTGCTTCTAGTGCAGTAGGGGTCTCCTTCATTCTCTAGTTAATTGACATGTAGTCAACTGGAATTTACCCAACTGTGAAGCCTACAGTCACTGTCTTTGAAGTGGTGTCCATATCCCTGGACAACATATCTGAATAATGGACATACAGATTCTGGGCCCTGCACTAGACAGACTGAATCAGAATACCTCAAGGCGAGTCTCAGCAGTGAGCATTTCTCAACAGGCTCTCTGGGTGGTGCTCACCTACACAGTGTGTATAGGTGAGAACCACAGTTGTAAAATCTGTTCTTTCTCACTGTACCTAAGGAGGTGGCTGGATCAGCGTGTGTGGCGGGTACAAGTGCAGGGCAGGCTTCAGTGCTTACATGCAAATAGTTCATTGCTGCATTTTGCATAAATGGGCATTTTCAGCTACATTTAGGAAGTACATAGCAGTATCCGGCCTGACGGTTTTGAAGCCTTGTACACTGTGTGATTGGCCTCTGACAGAAGAGGGTACAATCACTGTAGTAATTATGGATAGGCAGATCTGAGTTCTGTATCATTCAGGGTCACACTGTGCAATGCACATTGGGTTAGTAATCTCTGTAGTGTACAATCCAAAGTACCCTTCCTTAATTCTATCAGAAGGAAAACAGCAACAACAACCAGATCATTACTGAACCAAAGGCAACCCTCTTCATTTAGTTAAACATAAAAGAAAGTTCCAGGTAGACTGCAAAAAACAAAGTTAAGGAAAGGCTAAGTGTTCATGTTGGACTAGAACTGTCTTGTATCTACCTGTACGGATATTTTACACAAAAAGCATCTCTGTAGTTCCTTCCAACATTCCTATGACGATCCTACTCCTGGAGATTATTTGTAAATCATGATTTGCTGACTCTTCATGAAGATTTTTATTGTCTCACTCACCCAACTGATCTACTTAGGTGGTGTTTTTTATTATATCTATCAGCAAAAAATAATGAGCAATTTTAGGTTGGCAATGAACCTGACTATAAGTTGATTAGGATATGTAGGGATTAGTCACTATTGCTAGTGAATATTTAAAATTTCCTTTAGCTTTCTTGGCAGAAGAGCTAACCAAGAACTTTAGAAGTCCAATTTGAATTATTGGCTCATTATAGACTGGCCTATGCAACAACAGAACTGAGCAATTGCAATGGTTTCATCTCTGGAAGCCAGGATTTCACCTTCAGACTGCCAACCATTGTTCCCCAAGGGTGCCTGATGGTCTTCCAGTCTTTGGAAGTCATCATCAATCATGAAAACCATTGCAGCCTGTTTTCCAGCGTCAACCATTAAAGTGGCTTTGCTAGTAATAGTCAAGTCAGTCAGCTTTTCTAGAGCATTCGGAGAAAGAGAGCAAAGGAAAAGAAGGTGAAACAGTGGTCTCATTAGCTGTCCAGATTTGGAAATATGGGCAGAAGTGACTTCCAGGACTTGCCTTTTACTGTGAAAAAATCAAGGTCAACAGAATTGAAAATTAAGGACACTGAGTCAACTCCCTTCATTGGGAGAATGGACTTTCAGTTAGTCACAAATAGTTGGAGATCTGTTTTCTTCAATGGTTTGGATTTCAAGAGCCTAATAATTATGGGTTCAGGCTATCTATGGCTGCTTTAAAATGGCTAAATACTTCTGGTTAAACTTGTAAAGTACTTTGTAAGTCAAGCCTCCTACAATCTTCCCATTAAAAACTCTGAAGTATGCCAGGAACACAAAAATGCACAGATGGAAAAATAGCAGTGAGGTTAACAAGTACTCACCTTCTATTCCTTTGTCTTGTGGATTTAACTGGGCTCATGCCTACACCACCATAGTTTCACATAGAGAGTAGGAGGATTTATAGACTGGACATTATAATGAATGGGTGACCATTATTGAAAATGTACGTGATGTAAGATGCTGTAGTATTTTTTTAAAGCCCATGGAAATAACAACCTACCTACCTCAAAAGTATGGAGGGAAGTTTTGAAGCTGTACCCAATGTGGACCAGAGCTTCATGTGATCAGACAGCACATTTTACCAACTGCTCACCTTTAATGTTCTCAGGCTGAGAGATTTGTCAGAAGAAAAACAAAGGAAGGTCAAGAGTTTCTTGATGAGAAAATAATCAAATTGAATGTATTGACAGGATATTCTAGAAGCACTAGTGAGATTGATAAATGAAGATGACAGGGACCCTCCCAGTAGATTAAATAATGAAAGACTATTTCTTATTCTTAGAAGACATTGATGTCATAGTCCTGTACATGAATATTTTCAATTTGAGATTCTTAAACCTTTGGAATTCTTCAAAATATGTGGAATTATGTGTAGTCTTATGTCTGCTTGAGAATTTTACATAGTCGATGATGGCAGAATTTCTCTTTCCAAGCTTCCTCTCACAAATTTCATCACCCAGGAGGGGTGCAGCCAACAGAACTCAGGTACACACTGAGTAAGCAGGGTAATGTGTTTTCAATGAGGAGACCTGATCTTCCTAATAGCTTTGCAGTTTCCTATTCTGCTAGCAGCTTGGAGGGAATACATGATAATATGAGACATGGTTCTTGTCCTCAGGAAGTCTGACGTTTTGTTAGGGAGACTATATACCTGATGGGCTTGAAGAGCTTTCCTGAGAAGATGGCACTTCATGCTTGAGTGAATGGAATAGACCAGAAGGGCTACAAGATTTAAGATTGATTGACTTTTGGTCATTGATCCCTATTAATCATACAAAGATACTGATTTTAATATTTGTATGATTTTACAAGGGAGGGGCTACAGGGTCTGACACATATTTTCCAAAGTGATATGTAAGGCACAGTGAGATGAGGGCTGGACTGGGAGCCAGAAAAATCTGGATTTTAGCCTCACTTTTCCTACTGGCCAACTGGGAGACATCAAACAAGCCACATGTCTTCTTCAAATGTCAGTTTCTATATTTGTAAACGTGGGTGGGGGGGAGTTATGAAATACTACCTTCTGCACCTATCTTGTACGTCTCCATGAGAATAAAACAAAATTCAGTGCTATCCAAAAAGTAGATAACATCATTATTAACTAACTGGTTAAATCAAACGACCGCCTGAACTAATTTTAAAAATGCTTTTCATTTACGCTGTGAGACTTGCATTTTGTTTATAGACCTCTGATGACTCACAAATGGGAACTTCAGATGATGGCATTATGAAAATAATACTGCACTTTTGTGAGGCTATATTTGATGGTGTCCTCTCACTTGATTATTATGATATTTACAGCAAAATTTTTATCTTTACTTCATATATAAAGAAATGATAGCTCATAAGTATTAGGTGTTTTAGTCTAAGAAGATAAAGGAGACAGGACTGGACACTGGTATTTCTGACTTCTAATACAATGTTCTTTCCAAAAACACTTTCCTGCCGACACCTTGCCAGATTACAGAAAGGAAATGAGGCTTTTAAAGAACAGTGTAAAAAAGGGATATCTAAAAATACTCCTTACCCTCTTGAATATCTGTCTGAAATAACTTCAATAAGCCTTAATCCTAAGAACGAAATGAAAACATACTTTAAATGCCCAGGTATTGTTTTAAAAATTCACTTTCTCTTAAATAGCAGCCTTTCACAGCAAGCTGCCATTTTTTTGCTGGCAACTGCAATTCACAGATAATGTTTCTAAAGAGTGTTCACTCTTGCCCCTTCTCTCTTTCAGTAACAGATCAACTCCTAGCAACCATGATCGGATACAGCGTCTGCGGCAAGAATTTCAGCAAGCAAAGCAGGATGAAGATGTAGAAGATCGGCGTCGAACCTACAGCTTTGAACAGCCCTGGGTAAGGACTTGGCTTTTCAGCACAATGAAGAGTCCTACATCTTCCCTGTAGCTCCACTCAGCTATAACCTCAGCCCTCTATGAAATGAGACAAAATGGAGCCAAATTCCTTTGACCTTTAGCATATTGACCTTTTCCTCATTTCCATCTGGGTTTCATCATTGCTAATTTCATTTTATATCTTGTTCCACCATCTGTCCATTGCACAATAGCTTTCATCAGCCTTACGACAAGACAGCAAAAGTATTCTTGCTCTCAACTATGTATTTTTTTTTAAGTTTAGCAAATATTTTTCTATAGATACATCTTTCTCAGAATCAGAGCCAAAATAAATTAGTTCAACACATGTCTACTGTGTCTCTTATGCACAAAGTACAGTGTTTAGTAATTCTTTATTCTTTAATCTCCCTTATCCTCCCTGTGTACTTGTTGAATCCCTCTCATTTGTCTGTCTGCACCTTTATTCTAGTCCATTCTCCACACAGCCACCAGAGAGATCTTTCTAGACAAAACTTTGAATGGCTTTCTCAATGCCAGACCTATATTCTGATCATGTGTTTCACTCTGTAGATGATGGCATTTCTGGGAATGAAGATGTTGGAGCAGATATGGGGGTTTGAGGTGATGAACAGTTTCAAGAATCTCTTGGGGAAACTTAGGGAGTCCATTAGGGGTGAATAAATAAGCTGCTTGATGTATACAGCTCAGGATATAAGTCCAGTCAACATGGTTACCATAACCAACAATGCTTAATGCTTAGAGGACTGGGAATAGAAAAAGCAAATTCATAGATTAATTCTGTGATGCGGGTTGGCAAGGCAGATGTGGCAGAACACCAAGGAAGGTGCTCGCGTCCTGGTGAGGACCCTGGTGAAGCATCACACAGTCTGGGTAGCAGGGCAAGTACAGCTTAAAGAAGGATGATCCTAGCCTGGGAATATGCAAGAGTGGGTTAGAAGTCTAGGGGTTATTATGCCTGGGAGACTGTGGTCAAAACAACATATTTTTTGAATTCTAGAATCTAGTTCTGGATGATGTTAAGGCATGCCATCTATGCACGTCACTTGCAGAAGCAGAGAGGAGATTAGTGTCCATAAAGCTGACAGATTCAGTTCAGACAAAGTATTGGGAATATAATTATACTCATAATTTGGGAGAGCAGAGCAGAAGGAAGAATGGTGCTAGAAAAGGCTTGAAAGGTTTTTAAAAAATTATTTCATTTTAATTGGAGAAGAGAGTGAACTCAGTAGAAGTGAAGCATCATAAAGGTCTCCATCCTTGTCATCTTCACGTTGAATGACTGAGGAAGAAGAGGGGTTGGTTTTGTTGTCTCAGGGGTGGCAAAGACTGAAGAAAATCTGTGTATAAGTGGACCCGTGCAATTCAAATTCATGTTATTCAAGGGTCAGCTGTAGTTTGAAATGCTTCACCTGAATTCAGGTGAGCAGATGGGGCCCTAAAACAGGCGATTGGAAATATGGGAATAGCATCCAAGAATAAAAACACTTCATGAAATCAATTCTTGCTTGACTGTGGGAGGTTATAAAACAAGTAAGTTCCCCAGGTTTGATACCTAAGAAAGCCTCCACTTATCTTCTGAGACAATATTACTATTAATGGTATTTTTCACAGGTATTTAGTTCCTTTTCCTTGATGATCAAGTAAATTGAGTCATTCCCATGTAGCCACATGACAGAAGTATGTTCATCTACTTATATTGTTTGGTATAATTGATTCAGTCTATTCCTACTAGGTTCCTTAAAGCAGAATTCTTTTGCTATGTATGGTAAATGCATTCTTAACTGTATGTTTGCACTAGGGGATGAATAAGGTAATGAGTGCAGTGTCAACCTGAAGGAGAAAACAGTAGCTGCATATGGACATGGTTATCACACATGCATGCACACAGTTCCAACCTGACAAGCCCCCACGTGGGTTGTCAGGCCCTGTGCCATGACATGAGGAGCAGTAATAGCTGTGCAACTGAACCTGGGAATGTGAACTCCAAACCAGCATCTTCACAACATTTACTCCTTAAATATTTATGTATTTTTATCTTTTATTTTTATTTTAGATTCAAGGGGTACGTGTGCAGGTTTGTTACATGGGTATGTCGCGGAATGGTGGACATGGTACCCACTGGGTAGTTTTTCAACCCTTACCGTCCTTTCCATCTCCCCCTTTAGGAGTCCCCAGTGTCTGTTGTTCCCATCTTTGTGCCCAGATATATTTAGTGATTAGCTCTCACTTATTAGGGAGAACATGTTGTGTTTCATTTTCTGTTTCTGTGGTAATTTGCCTAGGATGATGGTCTCTAGCTGCATCCATATTGCTGCAAAAGACATGATTTTGCTCTTTTTTATGAACGTGTCGTATTCCATGGTATATATGTACCACATTTTCTTTATCCAATCCACCACTGATGGGCACCTAGGTTGGTTCCATGTTTTTGCTATTGTGAATAGTGCTGTGATAAATATGTGAGTACAGATGTCATTACTCTTTATTTAATTCATCCACCTCACTGGGTGCTTAACTATGTTCCAGTAATTTGTTTGGTGCAGTAGAACAAAGAAGGGAAAGAAAGCAAACCCTCAGAACTCTCCAGTGGGGCTGATACCAAGCAAAACTTCCATACTTTGTGCTGTGTAGAAGTGTGGTATTCTGGGAGTGCTGAGAAGCATAGAGGAGAGAGTCCCCAAATCAATCTAGGGTGGTCAGGAAAGAGCTCCTCATTGCAATTGAAATATACTTTAAATATATAACTTTGAGAAACAGGAATATATCTTTGGGAACTAAAATTGATGAAATTGTTTCTAATTAGTGGCATTCTATGCATATGCAAGACCTCTACATGCATTGGAGGCTAAATGAGTGTCTTCTACTTCATCATTTAGATGGTTTTCATTGGGAGACATGAAAATGATTTGATATCTATTTTGATTTCTTTATAAAATTTTCACTTTGAGTGGGGACAGTCAGTATGGTGGCAACGATTTTTATGTTATCTATGTAATATGAACATTCTCATGTTAGGGAAAACGTTTGAGAAAATCTTGTACATTCAGAAACTCAACTACTGAAGGTTTTTATTATCTGTTTTACAAAATAAACTTTGCATATCTTGGAATCTTTCTTTTTTTTTTTTTTTTTTGTCTTCCCGTATGTATTCTGACCTTGAAAGGTCACTGTGTTTGGAAAGGATGAGCCCATGATCTCACTCATTGGAATGGTTTGTAATCATTTTAGTTTTAAGGAACCACAAATGTGTCTTCAAGCTGTGAGTACAACTTAGACTGTATTAGCTGACATTGTCATGCTTGTTAGAAATGCCCACACACAAAGTGCAGCCAGATGTATCATATAGAAAAATATCCTGGCCAATTACTTTACATGCAGAGTGGGATGCTGCAGAAAATTCACCCACATAGTCCTTTTCAATTCATCTGTTTTGAAAATGTTCTCTATAAACTCTAGCAGGACGGAATGCACCTGTTCCTGAGTCTTTTGTTCAAAATAATGTTTGGGCCTGAGGGAGCTGATTTGTGGCACAAAAGGTCTTTAGATGAGCAGAGGCCCAGAAAATTTCCTTAGCTCTGTAATTGAAGTGAATTCTCTCCCAAGTTGAGCAAGAGAAGATGAAGAAAAAGCAACTTCTTCCTCACGTAGTGCCAAGTGCGACATCAATAAAGCAGCAAGTTGCTTTAAATCTTTCTTAAGATAATGGAACAATAGCTGAGGTTAGGGTTATTATCACAGAACTCACATATGGACAGGACTTAGTGTTGCTTTTAAAAGAACTAAATTGCAGGCTGCAGACATAAGTACAGTATGCTGTAAAAACTTTGCAGATACCTGAGTGTTGCCCACAAGGAGATTTGCTGGCTGAGACGATTGATAGATGGGATAATGGAGCCTTTAATAGCTATATTGCTAAATCCTTTCCATCCTGGGTTGGGAGCGACGGAAAGTGGTTTAGTCCTTCAAGTAGAAAATTGATACTCTGCAATGTGAATATCCTCTCCCCCCACCCAAGTTTGCTTGCTTCCTTGCTGTCTTTCAACAAATAACAAAATCTGACCTTTTTGGATTTTTGATGACTCTTCTTCCCCTCTTATGGCTCTGCCTGCTTTAATTGGCAAGCCAGTTGCAGTACACAGCCACTCTGCACTCCCACATTGCCTCCCTTGTATCTGGGGAAGCTGAGAAAATGGTGGTTTTTCCTTTTATTTTCTTCTCTTTTTAGAGACCTAATAAAAGGTATCCACTGTCATTTCCTCATAGTGACCTCAGTGCCTGGACTCAAAAATGGCCACCCGAGTTGACAACCTTGCAAATGTGTATTGCCCTAGCTCAAACTGGTAGAGATTACCTCTGTAGAAATAGATCCAGAGAAAGACATTCTTGCAGTGCAGGGGAGCCTCTTACACATGGAGAAGGCCTCCACGCTCCTGCAAAGCAGACTCTTTCTTTTAGCCCTAGGATGCATTCCCCCCAGCCAAAACCTCTGTGACCCCTGGCCTTTCTAACCTCAGAAGCTTCAAGCTTCTTCCTGAAGCTGCCTGTGGTTGCTCTCAGCACCTGACTTTAGAGGGACCTGGCTTATTTTGCAGTGACCCTTTTCTTTTATTTTTCTCTTTTTTTTTTTGAGTCAGGGTCTCACTGTATTGCTCAGGTTGGAATGCAGTGGCATAATCACAGCTCACCATAGTCTTGACTTCCTGTGCTCAGACTTTCCTTCCACCTCAGCCTAATTTTTTTATTTTTTGTGGAGACAAGTTCTCGCTATGTTGCCCAGACTGGTCTCAAACTCCTGGACTCAAGCAATCCTCCCACCTTGACTTCCCAAAGTACTGGAATTACAGGCATGAGCCAGCCAACCCCTTTATTTTCAATATACCTCTTCATTAAAGTTGGGAAGCAAAGTAAATTAAAGCATAGTGGGGAAAATGAGATGAAGAAAAATACTGTGTTAAGACCAAATCTTGCATTTCTAAAAACTTCATGAAGGAAATGGGTATGCTCTGCAGATTTTTCAGCCATTACATCCTTAGGTGATTAAGTGTTTCAACATTCAGAACCCACAACAGTTCAATCAGTAGTTATATAATTATGGTAGATAGTGGGGTAGGGACGGAGGGCTTGGAAGGCAAGATGGACAGATAAAAGTTAACTTTGTTTTGATTGAAAGTTGTATGTAAGTCTACTTTAGAAACTAATTATCAATATTAACAATGGCCACTTTTGAACAAAATCAGCAATTTACACTCTGTACATGATTTAATGTTATAAAAGTTATTTTTGCCCTTCGCCAAATCTTTAAATTGTCACTTTTAGCAGAATAAGGAATTTATATTAGGATTATAGCACATTTATATTGCTAAAATAAAGAGTCTAAATTTCAAAGAGAAAGTAGTGAATTTTTTTGTTACTGTAAACCAAAGGCATCATTATCATCATCTTCATGATAGGTTTTTATCCAAAGCATATTTTTTGTATTTTATTTTTTGTTTCCTATATTTGCCTTTGGGCATATATGGAGTTTTGAAGATTTTTATTAGTCATAATTTAAGCAGAAAATCTGCCCAAAATTATCTTTAATAAGAATATTACATATGTATGTGTGTATATAAACACATGCACACACATATGCTTACACACTAGTTTTTAATCTGTATGAAGAAAAATGATAGGGCATTTAAAAGTACTGAATATTTTTTGTAAATGTTAATATAGCCATAACAATAATTATAATAATTATTATTATTATTTTAAGTTGAAGTCTTACTCTGTTGCCCAGGCTGGAGGGCAGTGGCACACTCACAGCCACTGCAACCTCGACCTGCTAGGCTCAGGCGATCCTTCCACTTTAACTTTCCAAGTAGCTGTAACTATAGGCGTGCGCCACCATGCCCGGCTAATTTTTTGATTTATTGTAGAGATGAGGTCTCACCAAGTTGCTCAGACTGGTCTTGAACTCCTGAGCTCAGGCAATCCTCTCACCTTGGCCTCCCAAAGTGCTGGGATTACAGGTATGAGCCACTGTGCCCGGCCAATTACTTTGTTTCATAAGTGTCAATGTACTTTTATATTAAGCTGTAAAAGTCTCACAATATTACCTAGTTCTAATTAGCACTGAAACTCTGCACTGTGTTATTTTTTTGTGTTTTCTACTTTTATTTTTTAAAAAAATGATTTTATTTAATCAAAAGAAATGCTTAGTAATTTAATTCAGTGAAACACTATACGGAAGATATGTTCATATATTTTGTTTTACCCTGCTAAATGGTACCAAAATTGTGTAGCTTCCTCAAGCTTTAAATATCAACCTTTATCATCATGATGAAGACAAGTGCTTTACAGCTCACTTACAAAAGGAACATGCATATTTTTCACCTGTGGTTTTAAACATAAGCCATGAAAAAATTCACATATCCAGAGGCCTCCAGTGTACTGGGTAATAGATTGTCATGTATTTATTTCTGTCTTATAATCTCTATTGTTATTATAGACTCGGCAGCCTTGCCTTCTTTTTTTTTTTTATTTAAAAGATCGTTGGTTGTAACCAATTTCATCACAAATAAGGCCAAGGTTATTTGTAATTTGCACTGTTAAAACAGAGCTTCACCTTGTTATCTGGTGAATCTCCAGAATTATTACAATCTTACTTACACATGTACTTCCCTGTATGAATGTTCCTTTGCTGTTATAGTTGTTGATGATGTTTTATTTGAAAACATGCACTTCTCTGTGCGGTTACAAATGATTTTTCTTCATTTCTTTCTTTATTTTTGTGATTTTTGGATACATTATTCTGTTTCTGTCATAGGATTGAAACCAAAATATGTAATGTCAGGATTGTCCATTGTGCTACTGCTCCCACAATTTACATTTTTATGAACTCTTCGTTGAAAAGATGATTTTTTTATTCATGCCAAATGTAAAATTTGCCAGGATGAAGCTCCGTAAGTTGTTGCTGGGGCCTGGTACGTTTGCAGTCTTTCTTGACATACGTGACCATTAACATTTCATCTTTAAGATAAGGGTGTTTTGGCCAGGCTCGGTGGCTCAGCCTGCAATCCCAGCACTTTGGGAGGCCGAGGCGAGTGGATTGCCTGAGCCTATGTGTTCGAGACCAGCTCAGGCAACTTGGTGAGCCCCTGTCCAGACAACAAATCAAAAATTAGTTGGGCGTGGTAGTGCATGCCTATAGTTCTGGCAACTTGAAAGGCTGAAGAAGGTCACCGGAGCCCAGCAGGTTGATGCTGGGGTGACCGTGAGCATGCCACTGGACTCTACCCTGGGCAATGGAGTGAGTCTCCAACTCAAAAAAAAAAGATAAGGGTGTTTCTCTTTTAATAACCTACCCTTTGCATGCTCTGAAGAGAAAAATGGAGTAAAATATTGAAGGTGAGGCCAATGTTTAGGTCTTATAATTCGCACGGTAGTCTGAAATGTGTCAGTTTGCTGACACCAAACCCATTCCCTCATTCTAAGTGTTCAGTCCCCATATACCGATAACTTCATTATTGGAACTCATCATGCTCCAAGTAGATGCTTGCTGCTGATAAGGTTGGAGGTGAACAGTGTCAGAAAACAAGCGGTGGAGGAAACAAAGCCCTTCAACTTCTTTTTTTCTCTGTCAGAATCAAATTTTCAGGCCTCTGGGAGCAACAACTTAAAAATACACCTGAAATTTCTACGAGGCCTTGCATTTTCCTTTCACATCTCTGCGAGCAGCATGTCACAGAACAGCATGAGCTTAAAAAGCTGGTTACTAAATCCTGCTGCAGAATGCCAGATCTCTCAAGACTGCTTGACACATGTATATAGCTTATACCGAGTGAAAAGGAAAATGTGGTTCTTTTGAGGGTGTAAAGGAAATTGTGTAGTATTTTCTCTATTTGCTTTCCCTCTGTCCAGTGGCTTATCCCAAGCTTCTCCTGGCTCACCATAAACAATAAAACAGTCCCATCTCTCTTTCGGACAGCTTCATCAGGTATAAAGAAAATGTCTGTCTCCTTTCATGTAGTTGGTTCACACTTTGTTTGCATAAGCAGAACTCACTCAGCAAAGTGTTTTCCTTGCTGAAGGCACCACTGATGTGTTATCTGAACGGTGTTGTGAAGCGGGTCTCTGAACACACATTTGTTCCGATGAGTGTGGTTATAAACATCCACTAGTAGAGGCTGGGGTATTGTAAAGCCTAATCTCCTCACACATTATTTTTGAATCGGGATATTTTTAATATGCTCACTGACTATGCCCTTATGTTTTGAAATGTCGGTCCTGTATATTGCTTCATTATTGCTTATCAACAAATAAGATAGTGCTGGCCCGGTAGAAGAGAACAATAGATGATGCTCGGTTCATTTCTGTTCAGATGAAAGCCAACCATAGACACCATTCTTTAGGTAACAAGGCCACATGTTATCTTACAGTTCTCCAAATGAATGCTAAGATTCTGTTATTTTAGAAAATGATGATCAGGTAAAAGTCTGCCATTGGCTTTCAACTCTAAAAAGAAATCAATAACTTGTTTCTAACAGGCACGCTTCACTCAGAATATGCCTGTTGCGCAGTGTTGCATAAACACAAAGAGAGAAGGGAGGTTAGCAAGTGCCAGGAAGGATCACTTAGAGTGCCTGCCACTGATGCTATGATAAACCGTGGTTGGACGTTTTGTAAAGTTAGTGTAATCTGAGCAGAGCTGCTTTCATTTCAAAAGGCCAGATCTAGAGGTAAGCTAACAGCTGTTGGTGAGAAGCTGAAGTCTCCACAGGGTCCTGATCTATGCAGGACGATAGACATGTTCAGTAATCTGATTTTAGTGAGAGATATTAATCAACAAATGACTTGCTGACCAAAGTATTTAGCCAGGAGAATTGACAATATCTCTGTAGGGTATGATTAACCTAGGAATGATTGACTCTTTCCTAATCACCAAGGTAGTTACCTAACAGCTATTAGTTTTTTTGTTGTTTTGGGGGAGGGGTTGTTCTTTTTTTTTTTTTTTTAGGAACAGGATCTTAGTCTGTCACCCAGGTTGGAGTACAGTGGTGCTATCATAGCTCACTACAGCCCCCACCTCCTGGGCTCCAGTGATCCTCCCACCTCAGCCTCCCAAGCAGCTAGAACTACAGGCATGCGCCACCTCACCGAGCTATTTTTAGAATTTTGTGTTAAGAGATAGGATCTCATTATGTTGCCTAGGCTGGTGTCAAACTCCTGACCTTGAGTAGTCCTCCAATCTTGGCCTCCCAGAGTGCTGGGATTACAGGCATGAAAAACTTCTCCAGTCAGCTTTTAGGTTTATTTTTTTGATAGGCATTTCTGTTGCCAGTTTGACTGCTATCCATGGATTGGAGGATATCTGTCCATGGAGACCTAACAGTGTCTAGGACTTGACTCCAAATTTCAGTGTTATCAAAATTTGGCTCAAAATTTCACTCTCATCCTATAGTAAGAGGAGAATCAGTTATATTGTATCATACTATGATACTAAAATATATGACTACCCAAATATTCACCAGCATGGCCAATTTTCAAGTGTGTCCTGTGGACTTTCCCACTTTAGTGAGTTATTGTAGCAATTTTTTTGGGGGGGGGGCATTAACATCTAGTCTTCTGAGCAACCTTACTGTCCTTGTAGTTGCTGCATATACAAGACGTGTAAACTGGTATCTAATGTCAGTATTTGCCAAACTTCACTAAGAAGACTAGAAAGGGGAATCTGTCAAATTTAAACCACTGGCAAAGCCAAAGTCATAATTTAAGACAATTGAATATTTGGGAGCTCATTAGAGTAATTATAGGCCCCTTTCCTCATGGAAACTTGATTTTGAACAATGAAAATTAACAAAATTTGTGATGTTTCATAGTCAATTACAAGAATGGAAATTGAGTCAATGAGTTGTGTGATTCTGCTGGATTCTGTCTGCTTAATGATTGGTATTTTCCTTTTTCAGCCGAACTCCAGACCGTCTGCACAGAGTGGCCGGCACTCGGTGTCTGTGGAGGTGCAGATGCAGCGGCAGCGGCAGGAGGAGCGGGAGAGCTTCCAGCAGGCCCAGCGCCAGTACAGTTCCCTGCCTCGGTAGGAGAAGTGTTCCAGTTCACCTAGCCCCTTAGGAAAGCGCTCCTTCCCAAACTGCGCAGGCTTCTCCAACTTGCCCAAATCACTCCTTCCCAAACTGCACTGGCTTCTCCAGCTAGCACCCCTGTATGCCTAGAGGAGCTAGCAAATGGAGGAGGCCATCATTGCTTAGCATGGGGATCCCCTCTTGCTGCATGGCCAGAAGACTCGAAAGAAATGCCAGCTCAGGAGATGCCAGTGTTCTCACCCAAAAGCTTCCTAACCAAAACTGAAGTGACATGACCTAGGAGAACTGGGCTTAGGGGTCAGACCTGGTGCTAGTATTGGTTCTGCTATTGCCCACGTAGCGGTGGACAAGACAGTTTCCTCAGCTGAACAATGGGAAGAGCACTTGTATTTTTCTTAGCTCATAGGGTAGCTAGAAGAAATACTTTGTAACCTAGAGTTCTGTAAAGGATAGTGGGTGAATCGTCTGTACACCGTGCTTACATGGGATCAGTTTTCCCATACCTCACTCTCCTGCTGTCTGGACCTCAGCGAGTTCCAGAGATTCTCAGCTCAGTAGTTGACCACCAAGTAGGAAAGACTCATCTGCCCAGCTCCCTACAGAAAGGCATCTCTGCTCCAGGTATCTCTGTCAAAGGACTGAAAAGCTCTCAGGTGACTGAGCCCTAATACCTTGAAATAGTAGCCATCTTTCCACCCAAGTATTTCTTCCAGGTATAGTATAGAATAAAAGTGTTTAAAAAATTCAGCTTCTCAAACTTCCTCAAAGGAGTTACCCCTACACTTGCAATTCTTTTTTGTTTTTTTGAGCTGGATTCTCACTCTGTTGTCCAGGCTGGAGTACAGTGGCATGCTCACAGCCACCCCAGCATTGACCTGCTGGGCTCAGGCAATCCTTCCGCCTCAGCAACAGGTGACAAAAACATTTTGAGTGAGAAAGGCCCATTTCCCATGTTGACATCAAGTAGTTTTGAATTTGAGCAAAAAATTTTTAGGAAGAGACCGATATTTATCTTTACTGACCAATTAAAGTGATCTTGATCAATGTCTAACAAAGATGAGTTCTTTTAAATGTCAAGAAATCATTGTAACAACCCTGAGGGACTTCACCACGGTGACACAGATCAGCCAAGGTCACATGGGTGTGAATGAATCCCTACCAAAATGGATGCTGTCTATTGTAGACATGTGGTCATTAGGTTCTTTTTCAAGCCATAGTCTATATCTCCTTTGAATACTATTTATTCTCTAAATTGGAGAATTATCCACTAACAGTTATGCAGCCACTCTTGGTAATAAAGTTTAGATCTGGACAGGACCTTGGAGATCATCTTGACTTACAAGGAAATAGCTCAGAGAAATTAATTAACTTCCCCCAGTGTCACACAGCAAGTAATTTTGCCAGTAGTTCAAAGTCAAAGTGCCCATGTCCTATACCATTATTTTATAAGGTCCATTGCTACCAAAGGCCTCTGTTCCCAAGTTTGGGATATTGACAGGTGTAGAGCTCCCATCTGTGCTCTCTGACCTCAACATTTGAGAGAAGGTCACTATATGAATTAACCCACCCGTGAATCAAATGTTAAGCACTTGAGGAATCACATACCTAAAGGTTCGTCTGTGAACCAGTCCCCCTCCCCTGGGGTCTGTTTGGGTTACATTCCATCAGAAAAGTGAGCATGCCAATGTGGGTGAATTGACCCACATGGCAGGGCCATGCCGCTTATTGGCTGAGTGAAATGTGTTGGTAGGGCCAGGGCCATGTTTTTATTTTTATTGGCAAATTGTTTGGCTTCATATATTTCAGCTGTGTTTGGGAGTGTTTCTAAAGAATGAAGGAGAAACATAACCAAGTGCTTATCATAAGAAGAGTGACATGGGAAATGCAGAGGACTAAAAGGGAGGGAGGAGAGACCATGACAAGATGGCCTGGATGGCAGGGCAGCTGGTTGGATAGGGATGCCAGGGTCCCAGTCCTTGGGAAGAGGAGCAAGATAGATATAGGTGCTGCCACTGAACCCCATCCTGGGCACGTTTCACAGTAGCTCTTGCATTCCCAGCAGAGTTTTGCATCCCAGCATTCCTCTCCCTTCTTTACATGGGCCCCTCCTCCTCTATCCACCCCTTCCCCTCCCCACCTCACCCTTTGGAAGCATCTTGAAGAGGTGTCTATATTTACATGTGGAGGAGGGTTGCTGCCGCTACTGTTAGTGCTACTGCTATTACTTAGTGTTTCCTTAAATAACTAAAACTTTCCCTCTGGGTTAATTGGAGCTCCCTATTTTTAGCCATTTTATCCTATTTAGATATGAGAAAAGCTGACATCCCCAAATTAAAGGGTTATGTAAGTTTAGGCAAGAGGAGCTGGTAGGCATCTACATCATGCTCTTGCCTTCTTTTAGAGATTAACTTCTCAATGAGAATCTTTAATCTGTGGTATTAGAAAGGTAGAACCCTGCATCCAGCTTGGTCCCTTGCGAAGCCATGCCACTGCACAACAGGCTTGTGCAGGAGGTCAGAGAAGACCACAGCAACCTACAAGAGCTTGAGTCAGGTCCAACTTTCTGACATGTGTCAAAGACATTTGACCTCTGCTTTTCAGATGTTGACAATTAGCAGAATTTTGTCTAAACAAGTTGGCATGGTATTTGAAACCAAAAATATTGTACACACACAAAAGTTCAGTTAGGAAGTAGGGCGTAAAATAAAACAAGTGGTCAGGACTTTGTATCAGTTTCATGAGATAAGGTGGTTTGAATTACAGGGATGTTTGTGAGCCAGGGTGGTTTGCAAATTCTAACTGTAATTAAGAAAATCTACAGGCAGAATTTAAGTTACGTTGTGAGATGTCAACTAGAAACACCAGCCAGGTGGTAACACTGGTTTGGGAGGAAAGAGGGCCTGAGTGGTCCCACACTCAATCCTCCATCAGACCTGACTGTTTTCTTTTTTTAAGAAAAAAAGGGTATGTTTTATTGTAAATTGACAATTTATATTTGTATGAATTTATGGAGCACAAAGTATTCTTTATGAGTTATGAATACAATAAGGGATAATTAAATCAACTGAGTTAACATATCCATCACCTCAAATGCTTAACTTTTTTTGCAGTGAGAACATTTGAAATTTATTCTCTGTGCAAGAGAATGAAAAAAATTATTTCTCCTAAGTGAGATTTTGTACCCTTTGACCATCATCTTTTTATTCTTAAGTTGGTTCCTTTCCTTAGTACCCAGAAGGCAGCTGTCCAACTGAGTAGAGATGTGAGCAGTCACAGGCACCGGTAAATAGACACAAGGGCGTTGATTAAGTCTTTCTCTCTTTTCTTCTGCTCCCTCTCCATTTCCTCTTCATCCATCTCCTGTCTCTTGGCTTCGCGTCTGCTGTTGTCTGACTTCTTGCTCAGTAGGTCTTACCTCCTAGCTGTGTCCCTACACCCTCTCAAGATCTCCCCTCCAAGACATTTGCTATATCTTCAAGCTGCTTGTCTACTTCTCTGCCTTGCTTTTCATCTTTTCATGTCCGTCATCTTGGTGGCTCACTGGCTTGGTGTAAGTATTCTACATGATGGTGGTCTTCAGGCCGTGTTGGAAGTAGTTGTAACAATTAAGCAATGGTTACTGCCAAACTACCGTATGTGCTGAGTGGATTCAGAAATCTCCAGTGGGCTCTTTACAGAACCAAACAAACCTATGTGTTGTTGATAAAGAGATTCAGTGAAAAGAGAACAATGTTTTGTTGCTGTTATTTGTGGCCTTGAGGAATCACAGGAGAGTAGAAAGAACATGGGTTTCCAGGCACGGGCTTCCTTCTAGTCTCTGTGGCAGTTGTGTTCACTTGGTAAGGGTTCTTTAGTTATTTTTTGGTACCTTTCTCTGCTTCGAGATCTCTACCCAATCCTTCTAACCAAGGAAGGGCAAGTTAACATTTTTGTTTATTTTCCTTCTTTGGTCAGAAAGATCCCCTCTACCAACACCCCGCCCCCCAAAAAAGAAGACACCAGAACCTAATCTTTGAAGGCAAAATGACTTTGTCTTCAAACTACTCCTCCGACACCTGTTAGTTAATTTGTTACTGTGTGCAAGTCACTTTTCTAAGTACTTTACATGTGTTATCTCTCCCTACAAACTTATGAGGTTAGATATTTTACCTGTTTCACAGACGAGGCCACTTGGACCAGGGACACATAGTATAACCCTCCCAGGATCACATAGTCAGAAAGTGGCAGACTTAGGATTTAAATCCAGTCTGCCTGACCCTAAGTCACTCTCCCGCCCTGACCTGGTGCTGGAGGTCTGCTTTTCTAGTGTAGGAAACTTACTGTCTGCTTCCTTCTCTTGATCTCTACTATAAGCCCATTTCTAATCCTCTTCTTAATCAAGAGCTCATTGATACCACTATCCTCCTTACCAAAGAAGCATATGTGTGTGTGTGTGTGTGTGTGTGTGTACCACAATCATGGTTCACCACAGCCTTGACCTCCCAAGCTCAAGCAATCCTGTAGCCTCAGCTGTCTGAGTAGCTGGGACTACATGTGTGTACCACCATGCCCAGCTAATTTTTTTAATTTTTATTTTTTGTAGAGATGAGGTATCTCTGTGTTGCCCAGGCTGGTCTCGAACTCCTAGCCTAAAGCAATCCTCCCACCTCAGCCTCCCAAAAATGCTGGGATTATAGGCATAAGCCAAAATACCTGGCTTTATCTCCTTCTCTATACTTAATAATTTGAAGAAAATATTAGCTACAAAAATGTGTTCTCCCACAGCATCATAATTTCCATCCCTAACAAACCTTTAGTGATTCCTCACTGTGTTTAAATACAGAAAGACTCATGGCTTCCCAGGATGGTTCAGAACTCCACTGATGCTGCACGTCGGCCTTAGAGTGCAGCCTCAGGCACCATGGAGTTAGGACAAAAGTGGAGCTTAGTAGGCCAGCGATGAAAAAAGAGGTGAAATTTCTGCAGTCTATTTCTGATTATCTTTAAATTGATAACTAACTCATAAACGAATCCAGCTTTTGTTGCTGTAGTATCAGTAACAAGGTCGTTGTTTTAATTAAAGTTTCATGATTAATGCCAATTCCCTGGTTTCATGCTGGCACTTTCCAACAATGATGTCTCTGGGCCGATTAATTTATGACTTTTCAAGTGAAGATAATCAGCACTTTAGGTAAATAAACTATTCCATCAAATCTAGGGATTCTTGCCTGGGTTTACTGTATACACATAGTCTGCCTCCCATTAAAAGAGAACCAGATTGATCTGCTGTAGACTGCTCGATTAATTGTCATCATAACCAGAGGTGATGCTGGACGTTATGGTCATCTGCCTTCCTGAAAACATCCCTGCCTACATTTAGGGCCATATGGAAAATGGGCAGATTTCATCCCAAACCATATTGATGGCACTTCTGAATGTCCTAAAATACAAACTGCTTCATTCCTGCGGGAGACCGGGTGGCTTCACAGACCTTTTCCTTCCTTGAGAATCTTTGTGAACACTCAGCCTTGTGTGTGTGTTGCTGTGGGAGGCGGAGCAGTACTGTCGCCAAATGATTTTCTTATTGATAAATGGAGCAATCTATTTTGTTTTATTACTCAATCGTCTCTCCCCCTCTTCCATGTTCAAGGCAAAAAAATTAGGGCATGTCTTCCTTTCTGGCACAAAATTGTTTTACTTTATCATAGCCAATCTTATTGTAAATTCATAAAAGCATCTAGAGACTTGATAGTAAATTAAAGATGTTTCAAAACAATCATGTTTTCCGAAAATCATGTGCAACTTTATTGCAGACGTGATAAGAACTTGAAATTTCTGTATGACTCTGCTTTATTTCCCTATCCTGGAGTGACAGAAAGTGAGTTAAGTAGGTTATCCTGGCCTTTGGTGAGGCAAAGCGGGCAAGAAATAGTGCTTACTCTACAGACTTCCAGCTTCTACAATCTTGATGAGCGTGTGTTCCGAAGAGTGTCAGCTGCTGACATATACAACTCGAAAGCCAAGGCTTTAAGGGACTGCCTGTTGCATTTTTAATCATAAAGGAGTCTAGACTTACATCTTTCATAACTGAGCTCATATTATAATCCATTACATGTACTTCATATTAGCTAGCACTTCTGGCATTATGGTGGCAGCTGTGTAAAATATGTGTTCTGCTTGTTTAGCATTGAATTGTTCTATAGCGAGCAATTATTGCTACCATGGAAGCTGCCAAATCTCTAATACTCCTGTACTCACTAGTGTGTCTAAATTACAGGAGATATTGTTACCCTAAACAGAATAGACAGTGCCTACCCAGACACAGAAGAAGAAACCTATTTCTAAATAGCTGCTGAATGTATTTCTCTCTCCTGTTTAGTCTCTGTTTACTTGTCTGAGAATGTAAGCTTGCTGAGGACAGTTATTTTGGAATTCTTCAGTTTCTCTTGCAGTGTCTGACGTATGATTAGAGCACAGTAATATTTTTTAGACATTAAAATCCATTTTCTAGTCAGGCATAGTGCCTCTTTCCTATTTTGGGAGGCCAAGGACGGAGAATCATTTAAGGCCAGGAGTTTGAGAGCAACCTGGGCAACATAGCCAGATCCTATCTGTACAAAAAAAAGAAATTGAAAAATTAGCTAGGTGTGGCAGCATGCATCTGTAGTCCCAGCTACTTGGGAGGCTGAGCCAGGAGGACTGCTTGAGCCCAGGAGTTGTAGGCTGCAGTGACCTATGATCTCACCGCTGCACTCCAGCCTGGGTGACAGAACCAGACTCAGTCTCATAAATAAATTAAATAGATAGAAAAAAAATGTGTATTTCATCCCATCCTTTCCCCTTTCCTCCCTCTCTCCCCTTCTTCCAATCCTCACACTAACCTTTGGGTTTTACTTTCTAGGCAAAGCAGGAAGAACGCCAGTTCAGTCTCCCAGGATTCTTGGGAGCAGAACTACTCCCCTGGAGAAGGCTTCCAGAGTGCCAAAGAGAACCCCCGGTACTCCAGTTACCAGGGCTCCAGAAATGGCTACCTGGGAGGACACGGCTTCAATGCCAGGGTCATGCTGGAAACTCAGGAGCTCCTTCGCCAGGAACAGAGACGGAAAGAGCAGCAGATGAAGAAGCAGCCTCCTCCCGAGGGGCCCAACAGCTATGACTCATATAAGAAAGTCCAGGACCCCAATTACGCCCCTCCCAAGGGGCCCTTCCGGCAAGACGTACCCCCGTCCCCTTCTCAGGTTGCTAGGCTGAACAGACTTCAGACTCCCGAGAAAGGGAGGCCCTTTTATTCCTGAGCAGGGGAATGGATGCTTCGTGTCATGCAATAAAAGACATTTTCCTATGAAGACTTGTATTTTGGGAGCTTTTTTAAAACCTCAGATGGTACTATGGAATATTTCTGTTGTTGGTATCAGTGCCTTTAAGCAGTATGGGCAAAGAAATGGAAGAAGGCCTTAATGTCTTTGCCATGATGTCTCAAGTGTCTGTTTCATGGGAGGATTTCCCACCATCTGACAATCATCTGTCTGAAGCATTCACGTGCTCTGCATCTCTCTGGAATACCAGGAGTCCTGGCCCAACTCATGAGATGTCCACAGCTTGGTCATCACAGCCCCGTTCAACTCGTGGAGACAAATGAATTTGAAGTCGAGGATGATGTGTGTCCCAGTTTTCCCTCTGCATTCTCCTAGCTATGAGGTGACATCTCAGTCTCTGATGGATAAAAGTGGACGCTTTCTGGTACTTCCCAATTCAGCCGTTTGTATGACTTTGTAATCAGTGTGGTTTTGCCTTTTCTTTCTCAGCTCCTTGTCACAGGAAAGTTCCATTTTCCTATTAAAGAAGCTAAGCCATATTCCAGCACTGTTTGGTCACCATGGGGTCTTTTTGTAACTGCCTTATAACCCAACATTACCAATAAAGTGATGATTCTGGTCTGTGTTTATAAATACACTTGTTTAGTCAGTTCCTGATGCGGGTGTTGAGTCAGCACAGCTCTGCGTAGGGAATGTGGGAGACGGGGGCGACCCCTGATGGGACGGCCTCAGCCCACCCATCAGCCTGCAGGTGGCATGACATGGGAGCTCAGAAAAGAATTCTCCTAGGATGAGCTCCTGGCCCAGTATATAACCAGTAATTATTTCATTTAGTTTTTATCTTGACAGGTTGGCAGGAAGGGTATAGAGTGGGACAAAGACAAATCAGTCATTTTGGGGTTCTGGAAATGGCTGTGCTCTATGCAGTTTTCAAAGCCGTTTGGCATCGATGCTTGTCTAACCCAACTACCTACTGTATCGCTGCCTGGCAGTGCCATGTGGCTAAATAATTCGCCATGAAACATAAAACATACACAGGGAAGAAGCTGTTACACATCACACATAATATTTCAATGTCCCAAAACACTGGTGACAAAAAGATTGTTCTCGTGTCAATATTTCAGTGCGTATGCGGGTCTCAAGGCCCACGGTCTTCCCCATTCCTGTCTGTTGGCCTGAATGTCCTGTATTGTAAACCAAGGCTGGGTTGCTAAAATGCCTGCAAATCCTGATGTGAAAAAAAAAAAAAAGTTTGAGGTGAAGCTCAGCATACCAGATATTAACAAAAGGAAAAGAAAAAAGACATGTATGGTTATGTCTATTTTTTTTTTTTTACTGGCATACTATATTTTTGCGTCAATTTGTTTTTGGAAATGATGTGATGCGTCCACACTCATACCGGTGTCTCTTTTGCATTTCTGTGTCATGGTTCAAATCGTTAATAATATGCAGCAATGTCTAAATGTGTTACTGATATGCGCACAGTGACCTTGGGTGACAGTGGCTCTTTCTCACAGCCTGCCCTAAGCTGTGAGAAACAGCTTTCCCTGTATATATGCGACTTCTAATAAAAAGCATATTTCTTCCTGTTCTTTTTGGTGTCTGTAGTATTCCTGTGGAACCTCGCCTAGCTGGGCCTTTTTTTAAAAAAAGTATATTTACAGATGTGATTTTTTTTTTTCCAAATGTAGTTGAAAGCGTCCTCATATCTATGTGCAAACATCGAACTGGGTGATTGCTTATTTGAGCAACAGAGGAGAGAGGAAGGGAAAGAGAGAAGCTTCCTAATGGGTCCACTGGAGGGCCCAGGCTGCCTAAAGAGACCTGGAGACTCCTGCATCAAAGTAAACAACACATTAGAACTAAGTAAAAGAAAACTTACACAAAAAGCTGCATAATAATCCTATTACTGCCCTCAGTTCTCTTTGGACATCTTGGCAAGCCAACAACAGTTTTGGTTGAGTCCTAGCCTCGTGTACTGTGAACTCAGAGAGAAAGATCCGAAGTCTAGTCCACTTCCATTTCTAACCTGGTTCTTATTTCCCAAATTCACAGAATAAGGTTTTGCTCTCTCTTTTAGATGGACATTCATGAATATTTGTATGGTGTTTTGAAGGCATAAAGGGTAACATGCCCCCAGGTATGTCTTGTGCACAATTATAGGAGATGTGGTCCCCACCCAAAAAGCAAGCTTTGTGAGGACCTGTCAAAAATGCCCTCTTTATAGAGTGCCTGGCATCTGTTGGTTGTCATAGCAGCCCTCATCCTGTCACAACGTCCAAATTCTGTCACTTCATGACTAGAAATGAGAGGCGCATGGCATGCCAAGGCATTATCATCTTCTTGGTTCTTCTGTGCACACCAGGTGTGGAATAATAGAAAAGGGAAGATGACGGATTTGTTAAATTTTCTCACTGACCAGGATTCCCATTGCCAATGTCACAACACACAGGTTATTTATCTCAACTGACAGAACTAGAGCAAGAGAGGTACTAGTGAATGTTGTGGGGACCCAAATCCCAAAGGAGCTTATGGATTGAAACTGACAATTTAAGCCATGCTGGGAAGAGAAGTAGGAATGGATATGGGTCAGCAGAAATGTGAGCATACACTACATGGAGTGATCCTGTCTCAATAGGTGGGATCCTGGCTCTAGAACCCTTCGAGAGGATTTGAGGTGGGAGGTGTCCCAAGAAAGGGCCAGACTGGATTCCCTCAGAAGCCACAGTTCCATGACAGGGGCAGAGGGACAATCCTGGGGCCATTCAGATCAGAATGGAAGTGTAGTAGCTCAACTGTCCCTTGGAAAAGATGGCTCCCACTATGACATCATTCCCACTCAGTCCATCAAGATGATACATAGTCTTATTTATATTATAAACTATAAAAATAATTTTACATAACATACCCTATATTACATGTCATTGAAGCACCACTATTCACCTCTCTCTGTGGTCCATTAAACCCAAGGCCGCTCAGAGGTTAAAGCATCCCCCAAATGACAGGGCTGCCCCACGAACAAAGTGGAGAACAGGGCTGGAACTTCTTAGGTTTTCTGTCAAGAAATGTATTCAATTAGAGAGTAAACCAAATGATTTTCTGTTGTGTGGAGTGGGAGCAATTGGTTTATTCCAAACTCTTTTTGCAAAGGAATGGAAAGCAAGCAAACAGCCAGGTTCTTTGTCAGCAGTGTGCCTTGTGATCATCAGCCGTGGAATCTGAGCACGGAGGTCAAGGCTAAGAGACCAGGAGTCATGGTGGCTTCTCCATCCATGCAATTGACCTTGATTTTCCTAAATATAGCACTCATCTTCAAAACTACTCTCCCTCTTCCACTATTTTTATTAGAAAGTACACATGTGTGCATATACACACCCCTCAAAAAAATGGAATTATCTTTTTTTGGAGGGTGGACCCCTTGTAGTACAGGCTTTGCCCACTTGGCATGTGTCGTAGGAACCCATCTGCATCAGCATACCAGTTAGCATTATCGTGAGAGTCTGTGTTCAGCTTCAGTGAATTTTTTTTGGAGATTCTTTCAACGCGTTTGCCCATTTCATGATGGGTGATGTATGAACAACCTGCCCACACTGTGCTGAGCGTTCAGCAGTTTTTGACCAAAGACGGCATAATCCTTTGTGCCCCACTCTCCCTATTCACCCAATCTCGCTCCGAGTGACTTTTTTGTTTGTTTCCTTGAATGAAAAAACTCCTCAAAGGGAAATGTTTTGCTGATGTGGAAGAGGTGAAATAAAAAACAGGAGAAACCCCAGAAGGTATCAAAATTGGTGAACTCAAAAACTGTTTTGAGCAGTGAAAAAAGAGTCTCAATAGGTAGATTGCATCAAACAGAGAGTACTTTGAAGGTGATTGAAATTTAAACATGTAAGAGTAAATACACAATGTTTTATAATAAATTCTGCTTTTTGTGGTCCCACTTCATATAACAAGCATATGTAGCATATGCAATTCCTTTTATTTTTCTTTTAGAGACAGGGTATTACTCTTTTGCTCAGGCTGGAGTGCAATGGTGCAATCATAGTCCTCTGCTGCCTCAAACTCCTTACCTCAAGAGAGCCTCCTAACTGCCAAGTAGCTGAAACCACAGGTGCATACCACCATGACTAGATATTTTTTTAAAAACTTTTTTTGTGGAGATGGGATCTCTCTATGTTGTCCAGGCTACCTGGAACTCCTGCCCTCAAGCAGTCCTCCCAAAGTGCTGGGTTTACAAATGTGAGCCACTATGCCAATACATTATGTAATTCTATATTTGGCTATTTTAATGTGTTTCTTACCTGAGTCTGTAAAGCTCAGGTATTGCCCTCAGTTGAAGCTGGCCTAAGATAAAGCAGATAGTTCTTAGTTTCTGGCCTTATTTGCTATTCATGGAAGAGTAAGTCACTAAGGTTCAACTACCTCTAAGTATGTTCCATTCTGAATGTCCTTCAGATAGCCCAGTGCGCCATAAATTTAAATGTCTAGTTAACTCTCAACTTTTTTTCTTCTTTTTTTTTGTGGGGGGGAGGGAACAAAGATTACTTCGATAATGACATGTCAGGTAAGGAGATAATCTTTTTTTCTTACTTCAGAGACAGGATATCATCTTAATAAGGCAGCTAATAAGAGCGTTCACAGGTCAGAAAGTGAGAGTGACGGAGATGCTTTAATGGAAAACCACCTTCAGCTCTGAGTAATGATTAGATCACAAAAGCTGGTTGAATTAAATTGACATTTTTTTTGATGTGTGGGAATGAGGTTTTTTTTTCTTTAAAAAATTATGCTTTAGAGCTCATGGGGGAAGGGGGATTATTGTTGCACCCCAGATGGAAGAATCTTATTTCCCCATGAGATGGGGTCTTCCCTCCAAAACTCATCTTCCCAGCCAATACTCAGTCCCCTCCTCTTCCTCTGCTCTTAGAATATGAAAATATTCCAGTGAGCAAAGTAAAAACAAACAAAAAAAAACTATGGGTATCCTTTGTTCATAAATGCAGTTTCTGTAGGTTAAGCCCCATAATGGAAAAGTGAACTTTCAAGGGATTCCATGAGAGGTCCCATAAACAAGCCTTTGCTCAATAGAATCACCACATTTTCTCACTTTTTTTTCTTTCTGAATTCAGAGTTCAATACTCAGTCTTTATTTTCTAATTTTTATTTTTTTAAAGCAAGTGGTATCTGTGCTGGCCTGCCACCCTCCAGATGGGTCTGTTTAATACCAGACACAGGAGAAAAGGGCAAAAAACAAGGGACTGAGTCCTCCCACCATGAAGCTGAACAATTACTCATCTCTCTTGCCTAGCACTTATTTGCTCACAGGATCAATTAAATGTGTGAAAACACCTTTTTTTTCCTGAATTGCTCAGCAAACTGCTGAGTCACCTCACACTGTTGCTGGCTTAGAAGAGCCATGTGGAGTTAGCTCCCAGACACGGCAATGCCTCACGATGCTCTGATTCTCCCAGAGTGACGTCGGACTCCAGGAGGCATCATCTGCGAGAGGTTGGTGCTGTTAGGAGAAGCCTTTCTTCTTTCTCCCATGGCAAGTTTTGCTAGAAGGCTCCTTCTGAAACAAGTTTGGCTTCCAGGAGGGATTTTATGATGCAAATATTTTAAGTACAACTTTGAAGGTTTTGCCATTAAAAACAGCCTCACATGGCTCAGGGCCCAGCTGACTGCAAACTACAAGGGGAAAAAGTGCCATATATCGCTGGCAAGTGACAGGGGAAAAACAACACAAATTTCTAAACCAATCGTGACCTTGGCTAATGATCTGGTTTCAAGGTTCAGTTCATATCTGACTTGCTTTTATTCAGCTCGAGTTGTCAACAGCAACGTACTTATCCCAGTTGTTTATGTTGGGATGAAATGGATAAAAAATGTTAGCCTGACAACCCAGAGATGGGTCTGATTAGGGCTCGCCAATGAATGCGGCATATTTTGGGATAAAGTAAACCTTTGAACTCGTATTGTAAAGCCTCAAAGGGAATTTGTCCTACACATGCCCCAACTTGGAACTCCACTTCCAAACTTTCTTTAACTCTATCTGCTTGGCTTGACTTCCATCTGGGCCCAAGGGGCTCCCGCTCTGGGGCAAGCAACCAAAGCACTCCCACCAAGTCTGAGCCCACCATCAGAGTCCACAGGCTGCCTCTGGCTTCTCACTTCATTTGGACCAGTTGTCCAAATCAACCAGAGTGATGAAGCACTTTACAATTTGCAAAAAGTTCTCGTCTTATCCTTTGGAGTCCCGAAGCCCTGTGAAGCAGGTTAGAGAAATGATGATCCAATTTTTCACACAAGGACACTGAGCCTCTAAGGGTTTGGGACTTGTCAATGGGTAAGCAGCTCAGTCAAGACACTAAACCCATTGTCCCAACTGTGACCCACCATTGTGACACTATGGTCTTATCACAATAAAAGATTTGGATTTTAATAATTTTAAAGTCCTTACTTGATGGTCATTGTACTCTTCACTGATAGGAAAAAGTGAGCACAACATGAAGGACAAACAGTTAAGAAATTGCGAATGCCTTGGAAATAAATGCTATTAATCAATCCTATTTATACACACTTGAAAATTTTGTTATG